AAAAATTTTGGACAGTACAAGTCAGACAAAGGTCTAATCTCCATAATCTACAAGAAAATCCAACACCTCTACAACAAAAAGACAAACAATCCTATTTAAAAATGGGCAAAGGAAATGAACAGACACTTCACCAAAGAAGACATTCAAGCAGCCAACAGACACATGAGGAAATGCTTGCGATCACTAGCCATTAGAGAAATGCAAATTAAAGCCACAATGAGATACCATCTCACCCCGGCATTACTGGCACAGATCAAAAACACCGGAAATAGCAAATGTTGGAGGGGCTATGGGGAGATCGGAACTCTTATGCACTGCTGGTGGGAATGTAAAATGATACAACCATTTTGGAAAATGATACGGCACTTCCTTAGAAAGCTAGAAATAGACATACCATATGATCCAGCAATCCCACTCCTAGGAATATATCCTAGAGAAATAAGAGTCATTACTCGAACAGACATATGCACACCTATGTTCATGGCAGCATTGTTCACAATAGCAAAACGATTGAAACAACCTAGATGCCCATCAACAGATGAATGGATATAGAAACTATGGTACCTACACACAATGGAGTACTATGCAACGAGAAAGAACAATGATGAATCTGTGAACCATCTCATAACATAGACGAAACTGGAGGACATAATGCTGAGTGAAATAAGTCAGTCACAAAAGGACAAATATTGTATGAGATCTCTATTGTAAAAACCCATGAAAAAGTTCACACAGAAAAAGTAACAATCTTTGTTGGTTACCAGGGATGGCGGGGGGAAATATTAAATAGGCAATAGATAAGTGGTATCTTGGGTGAAGGGTGAGACACTACACAATACTGGGGAAACCAGCACTACTTGTACAAGGAAAGGTCATGAAAGCTCCATAGACACATCCAAACTCCCTGAGGGACTGAATTGCTGGGTGGACGGCTGTGGGGACCACGGTCTCGGGGAACATCTAGCTCAATTGGCATAACACACTTTATAAAGACAATGCTCTACATTCTACCTTGGTGAGTAGTATCTGGGGTCTTAAAAGCCTGTCAGCTGCCATCTAAGATACTCCACTGGTCTCATCCCTTCGGGAGCAAGGGAGAGTGAAGAGAACTGGATACAAGGGAAAGATTAGTCCAAAGGACTAATGGACCACAGCTACCATGGCCTCCACCAGACTGAGTCCAGTACAGCTAGATGGTGCCCGGCTACCACCACTGACTGCTCTGACCGGGATCACAACAGAGGGTTCTGGACAGAGTTGGAGAAGGATGTAGAACAAAATTCTAACTCACAAAAAAAAGACCTGATTTACTGGCCTGACAGAGACTGAAGAAATCCCCGAAAGTATGGCCCTCAGAAACCCTTTTTGCTCAGTGGTGAAGTCACTTCCGAGGTTCACCGTTCAGCTGGGGAGTGGACAGCCCCATAAAACCAAATGGGACTAATGAAGCACAGCAGTCCAGGGACAAGGACTAGAAGGCAGAAGGGGACAGGAAAGCTGGTGATAGGGAACCCAAGGTTGAGTAAGGATAGTGTTGATGTGTTGTGAGGTTGTTAACCATTGTCATAGGGCAATATGTGTACTAACTGTTTAATGAGAAACTATTTTGTTCTATAAACCTTCATCTAAAGTGAGAATAGCAGCACAATTGGAAGAGCGTAGTCGATGTCACTGAACTGTGCATGTAGAAATTTTTGAAATGGTGTATCTTTGGCTATGTATATTTTCACCAAAAAAAAAAAAAAAAAAGGTCAATTAGGGGGAGGGTTGACATGTCATGGGGTTGTTAACCAATGTCATAAAACAATATGTGTACTACTGTTTCATAAGAAACTATTTGTTCTGTAAACCTTCACCTGAAGTACAATTAAAAAAAAAAAATGAGAAGCAAGGAGGGGCAGGGAAGCTAGATTAATGGAAATGGAATAATCAGAATGGGAATAACGAGAATGGTGACATACTGTGAAAAATGTAACCAATGTCACTGAACAATACGTATAGAAATTGTTAAATGGGAACCTAATTTGCTGTGTAAACTTTCACCAAAAACAATAAAATATTAAAAAAAAAAGAAAACCATATGGAGCACAGTTCTACTCTGACACACATGGGGTCACCATGAGTTGTAATCAACTAGATTATAGCAACTGGTTATATATTGTAAGTAATGCACCAGAGAACACCTTTCTCTGAAGGAGACATGTCTCAACCAAAACACCCTCTGGATCATAATGTGAGACTACAAAGTGAAACAGACAGGTTCTTTTCAAGTCTGCTTATGTGAAAGTCATACTATAAAAAGAAGTTGCTGGTCTAGACAGATTAGTAAAAAGAAAAAAAAAAACAAAAAAATCCCTACAGTTTACTATTGTTTATTTATACTAAAGGTATTTGCCAGCTTTCATATACAAAAGCTATGGACCCTGACATTGTGCAATTCATATGGAATTCTATGTAAATTCCATTCTTCTGATAGATACAGGGCTGAACCACTCAAAACACTACCATGGTTTTAATGAGAAACTGATATAGTTTCCAAAGTCAGACCAGCAAAAGGTGATTGGCACGTGTTTTCAATTCTTTTTCAATGGAAAACTCTGTGCTCTAACTAAAACCACTGGTAATCTATGCAACAGCTACAATATTTGCATGTATTCTTTTAGAATTAGCGGAATCTCACTTAATTGACAATGCTGATTAGCCATGATTTAATTTATAATGCAATGGATATTTTAGCTTAACTTGCTGTTTCTTTATAACTGTCAGATTACAATTCTTACTTTATATTGATGTCTAAGTAAGATTAATTTTGTGGTTATAAGTTGCCTAGAATTCAGCAATCTTAATTTTTTTAATCATAAATTCTGAGGACTAAGCTACACAGAATTTTCTTTACTGAGCAATATTTACCAACGTCAGTAGTATAAATTTACTCCTAATGAAAGTTTACTCACAAGGCAAAAATACCTATATTCTGTATAACGATTTCTAAATTAAACAGATTATTTACTATTAAGCTTAAGTATTTAAAAAAAAAGGATCCTTGCAATTTAATTATCATGACAATTTACTATAAAAATATTTACATATAGGTAACTAAACCCCCTTACCTTATAGATATCCAAAAATCCACACTGGTGGTCAAATCTGGTGTACAGTTCATTCAGCATGCTGATCACTTGCATGGGAGTACACTGGGCACAGATGGCTGTGAAACCAACAATGTCCGAAAAGAGCATGGTGACATCATCAAACTTTCTGGCCTGCACTTGCTGCCCTTGCCACAATTGCTGGGCTACATCGCCAGGGAAAATGGAATATAGGAGATCCACTGTCTTCTTCTTCTCTTCTTCCAGGGCCTGGTGAGTTCTTTCTAATGTTGCCTTTAATTTATCCATCCTTTTCTTCAAGCCATCTTGAGCCTTTGCCTGCTCACCAACCAAAATGACATCTCGTGTGGCATCATGGATAGGGATGTCCGAGAGATGCAGCCCTCGACCCATGAGTTCATCCAGCTTGTCCACACAGGGAGAGCCCAAAAATAAAATGGAATTTGATTCTGGGACATGGATCATCTGTCCTTTGACTTCCATCACCTGCAAAATTAACATGAAATTTAGATCAGTGCTCTTCCCATACTAGGTGCACACAATTCATATATATCTGATGAAAAGGAGATGAAAGAATAGTTTAATTAGTTTAATAGTTTAATTTCAATCACCATATATTATTCAGCCTTTCTGCATTCATGTAAGCCCATTTAAATATGATTTACAGCCAGTGTAAAAGCCATGGTTCTGAATAGAGACCATTATTATTGTGTACCACTCAGCTGCTTTCCAAAGACAGTGATGAAATGGAAAGTGAGATCGATGAGAAATGAAACAGGAACACATATTTTATTCAAAATGAAATTACTTCCAGGTACATCATGAGACTGGCTCATGGGCCAATTCAAAAAACTTTCAACCTATTTAATAAGGATGGAATTAGGATAAGTCTATCTGTCAAAATAATTACATTTAACTGTCATTAAAATAACATTCCTTTTGTAAAATAAGTCCAGGAGATTAAAATAAATCAAAATAGTTGCTTGGCCTTATATGAGTCATTTTTCAACCAGCTACAGTCATTTGAAAATTAAGTAGTCTTTGTATACAGATAATGATGACTAAATAAAATTTAAACCAGACATCATTAAACCAGCATTACCAGAAAATAACTCAGCCAGTGTATTCATACAAGCAAAAATAAACCAAAAAATCCGGATACCACTGAAGAAATCCAGTTATTAAGATAAAGAATCTAAGGATGTAGCAATTTAAATCTATCCCTCCTTACTATGCCCTTTCACTGGATAATTTGGGGAAAGATGTTTAATGGGAAACTTAGTGAATCACAGGTTTATTTTCTCTTAGCTTGGTTCCCTAAGGAACAGTCAGAGAGGATGAGCACCAGTAGAAAAGGAAAGGTGGACTTAGGATAATGCTATTCAAACAGAGTTATTTGGGTTAGAATAAGGTATTTCAGCCCACCTGGAGAGAAAACTGGTGATAATTGTTTGGAAAGAACAGTCTAAGAGTTGACCAATTGAGACTGTGTATGAGTTCCATTTATGTCAAAAGCACCTACCACATGGAAAATTCTAAATAAATGTATTTTCCTTAATTCTCGTAACATGAAGTAGTTAGCCTAGTTGATGAAACTGGAGGCATAGGACAAACAAGGGATAAACCATAGGGATTTGAGTTTTTAGGCCTCCAAATGTTTTACTTTGTACCTCCTGCACCATTCACCAAGATCTAGACTATAAAGGGAAATAAAATTGAATCTTTGCTTGATATAATTCTTATGAAATGAAATACTTTATCTTATGTAAAGCTTCTGCTAAAGTTCAGTATTACATCCTTCTTTCGTACTACTCTCATTTTTCACTGAAGTATTTATTCAGTGTTTTCTATTTACTAGTTACTGCTCTGGGTAGTAAGCATAGAAAGGTAAAGTATGGTTGCCCATATATCATTTCAAGATATATCAGTATGGTGGGGAACAAAATCTATATAGCCCAGAGAACAAGGTGAAGAAGCCGCTCTCAATTCCCCACCTAAGGTGGAGTCTCAAAAGACAGCAGTCTGTGACTTGAGCACAGAGAAAATAATCATTCTGTAATGTATTCCAGATTCTTTTATATATTCATGATAAGCCTTTTTTTTTTTTTTTTTTTTGGTGGGGAAAGGGGTTTGAGTTGTTAATGAAGTATACTTTCCCACTCCTAGGATATTACGGGGAGAGTAGGAAGATACACATAATGAACAACCCCACAGTTTATAAATTGTCATATATAAATTTTTTTAATTAATATAAAATCAATAACCCTGATAACCTTTGTAAAGCTAACAAGATTTTTCAATGGCAATAATAACGTTCTGATGCCAATGGATATAAACTTCTATCTAGTGTCTTTCTCTCTCTTTCTCACTTTTCTGACATTTCTTTCCAATCGTTTTCTTTTTTTTTTTTTCCTCACTCTGTCTTTCTTCTCCTTTCTCCTTTTTCTTCTCTGGGCTTGTACTTTTTTCAATCTCCTCTTTTAATTTTGGTATTTATCTCTACTTCTCCTGTCTCTCTCTCCATCATCATATGCAAGCCACTGCCCCTCAGTTTTTCCATTGATTCTTCCTTTCTCTTTTCCTTTTCTTTCTAGGTATCAGCCCCTACATTTCCCATCTCACTATCTTAAATATGGAATCTATGTGTATGTGTAAATAACATTACTATGTGGAATATCAATATCCTAGGCATTAGTGAGCTGAAATAGATTGGATTGGACATTTTGAATCAGATAATCATATGTTCTACTATGCCAGGAATGACAAATTGAAGAGGAAAAGTGTCACATTAATCATCAGAAAGAATATTTCAAGATCTAACCTGTGTACAATACTGATAATATACATATGTCTAGAAGGAAGACCAGTTATTCAACTACTATTTAAATTTACACGTGAACCGATAATGCCAAAGATGAAGAAACTGAAGATTTTTACCAACTTCTGCAGTCTGAAAATTGAACAAACATATAATCAAGATGCATTGTAATTATTGGTGATTGGAATGTGAAAATAGGAAACAAAGAAGAAGGATCAATAGACAGAAGATATACCCTTGGTGATAGAAATGACCTCAGAGACCACATGATAGAATTTTGCAAGACCAACAACTTATTCACTGCAAATACCTTTTTTTCAACAACATAAATGATGACTATACACAAGGACCTTGCAGAATGGAATACACAGGAACCAAATCAACCACGTCTGTGGAAAGAGAAGATGGAGAAGCTCAATATCATCAGTCAGAACAAGGCCAAGGGACTGTGGAACACACCATCAATTGCTCCTATGCAAGGTCAAGTTGAAGCTGAAGAAATTTAAAACAAGTCCATGAGAGCCAAATTATGACCTTGAGTATATCCCACCCGGATTTAGAAACCATCTCAAGAATAGATTTAACGTGCTGAACACTAATGACCAAAGAGCAGATGAATTGTGGGATGACACCAAGGACATCATATATGAAGAAAGCAAAATGTCATTAAAAAGACAGGAAAGAAAGAAAAGACCAAAATGGATGTGAGAAGAGACTCTGAAACTTGCTCTTGAATGTAAAGTAGTTAAAGTGAATGGAAGAAAGGATGAAGTAAAAGAGCTGAACAGAAGATTTCAAAGGTCAGCTCAAGAAGACAAAGTACTATAATGAAATGTGCAAAGACCTAGAATTAGAAAACCAAAAAGGAAGAATATGCTCAGCATTTCTCAAGCTGCAAGAACTGAAGAAAAAATTCAAGTCTCAAGTTGCAATACTGAAGGATTCTACAGGGAAAATACTGAACAACACAGGAAGCATCAAAAGAAGATGGAAGGAATATACAGAGTCACTGTACTAAAAAGAATTGGTCGACATTCAGTCATTTCAGGTGGCAGCATACGATCAAGAACCAATGGTACTTAAGGAAGAAGTCCAACCTACACTGAAAGCATTGGCAAAAAGCAAGGCTCCAGGAATTGATGGAATACCAATTGAGATGTTTTGACCAACAGATGCAATGCTGGCAGTGCTCCTTCATCTATACCAAAAGATTTGGAAGACAACTACCTGGCCAACCGACTGGAAGAGATCTATATTTCGGATCATCTCCAAAAAAGGTGATCTAATGAAATGTGGAAAAAATCGAACAATATCATCAATATTATATGCAAGGAAAATTTTGCTGAGGTTAATTCAAAAATGGCTTCAGCAATGCATCAACAGAGAGCTGCAAGAAATTCAAGCTGGATTCAGAAGAGGATGTGGAACCAGGGCTATCACTGCTGATGTCAGATGGATTTTGGCTGAAAGCAGAGAATACCAGAAAGATGTTTGCCTGTGTTTTATTGACTACGCAAAGGCATTTGACTGTGTGGATCATAACAAATTATGGATATCATTGTGAAGAATGGGAATTCCAGAACACTTAATTGTGCTCACGTGGAACCTGTACATAGATCAAGAAGCAGATGTTCAAACAAAACAAAGGGATACTGTGTGCTTTAAAGTCAGGTAAGGTGTGTGTCAGGGTTGTATCCTTTCACCATACTTATTCAATATGTATGCTGAGCAAATAATCCAAGAAGCTGGACTATATGAAGAAGAATGTGATATCAGGATTGAAGGAACACTCATTAACAACCTGCGATATGCAGATGACACAACCTTGTTTGTTGAAAGTGAAGAGGACTGGAAGCACTTACTGATGAAGATCAATGACTACAGCCTACAGTATGTATTACACCTCAACATAAAGAAAACAAAAATCCTCACAACTGGATCAATAAGCAACATCATGATAAATGGAGAAAAGATTGAAAGTATCAAGGATTTCATTTTACTTGGACCCACAATCAACACCCATGGAAGCAGCAGTATGTCATACGGCACTGGGCAAATCTGCTGCAAAAGACCTCTTTCAGGTGTTAAAAAGCAAACATATCACTTTGGGAACTAAGGTGCACCTGATCCAAGCCATGGTATTTTCAATCGCCTCGTATACATGTAAAAGCTGGACAATGAGTAAAGAAGACTGAAGAAGAATTGATGCATTTGAATTATGGTGTTGGTGAAGAATATTGTTAATAGACCATGGACTGCAATAAGAACAAACACATCTGTCTTGGAAGAGTACAGCCAGATTGTTCCTTGTAAGTGAGAATGATGAGACTTCATCTCACATATGTTGGACATTATCAGGAGGGACCAGTCCCTGAAGAAGGACATCATGCTTGATAGAGTAGAGGGTCACCAAAACCAAGGAAGACCCTCAGTGAGATGGACTGACACAGTGGCTGCAACGATGGGCTCAAACATAGCAATGACTGTGAGGATGGTGCAGGACCGGGCGGCATTTGTTTCTACATAGGGTTGCTATGAGTCAGAACCAACTTGATGACACCTAACAACAATAACATAGGGAATAAATAAAAATGTACTTTTATTTCAATTTTCAAGGAAGCTGAGTTGAATATTTTATATTTAGTCTCAAAAGTATGAAACAATAAAT